AAAAAAAAAAAAAAAAAAAAAAAAAAAAAAAAAAAAAAAAAAACTAGCCCAATATGCCCTAATTCCGTATTCTTTTCTCCTTTTCCAATTCTCCCTTCTTGTTTTTTTTCTCCTTAGTTAACAAATAAAAACTTGCACATCTTATTGGGGTAAGTTAAGGTCTAGGATGATATGTGAATTGCAATGACTTGGATCCTCTACAGTTCTCCACTGTTCCGCTATGTCTTGTGCGATCTTGATGGCATCACACGACGTTCCTTGAAGACCTCTTCTCGTGAACCCCACCGTATACAATCCCTCCTCTCCCTTCCACCCATGAGGAAAGGGCGTTTTGGGCATTCCATCTTCGGTGAAAAAATCACACCCCTGAATTAGGAAAAACAAATTATGCTTCCATTCATACATGATCATCATCACAAGAGAATTAACATTGAAGTTTGTGATCTTAGAATAATATTAAACTTGATGCAAAGCAAAAAGAGATTTGGTTTGATTTGATTTGATTAACAATTAATTTGAAGCAAAGGGAATTTACCCAAAAGGTGGCACAGTTTACTAATTAGATGTGACTACTTGTACAAGTTGCTAACGAGATATTACCTCATGATCGTTACACATCACAAAACGTCACTATGAAACCAGAGTTTTTATTTTTATTTTTTTTTTACACTTTAATTCGAAAGAAGTAAATATACTATGCACGACACAAAAATTAATTAAACCCAACCCAACACAGACCCGAAACTGATTTCATTCTTTCCCTTTGGAATATGAAGAAAAGAAAACATTTGTAGGTTTCTTCTCTCTGCATGTGTCCCAAAGTGTAGATAGTGACATGTCATAAGTGGTTGATAATAAGATAGAGCAAAAAACGCAACACAACAGACTCAATTCTAACCTTAAGCCAAGTAGGCACGTTGCTCTTGTACCCTGTTGCCAAGATTATAGCATCGAATTCTCTTTCTTGTCCATCCATAAATTTGGCACCATTTCTTGTTATCTCCTTCACACCCTCCATCACCTTCACAACAAATAGCAAAATTGAAGTGCCACAAACACAATACTCTTGGAAAAACAAAATGGGGTTCCTTAATTTTCCCTTGATTAAACCAAACCATACATCATACACATACACATACCTTAATGTTGCCACATTTTATTTGTGCAAGTTGACCCACATCAAGGACAGGGGTTTTCCCTGTGACGAGTTTGAGCTCTATTGGGCCGGTTTTGGGCCTCTTGATGCCGTAGTGATTTGTGTTGCCCAAAATGACGTTTGTTGCAAGCAAGAGGATCTTGTCCACTAACTTGATCGGAAGCCACTTAAAGAGAGCCATGGCTATGCCAAATGTTGAGAAGCCAAACATCTCCCTAGGAAGCACATGTACCTTGCATCAACATTAAAATCGTGCAACACAGTGAGCAAAAAAGTATACACCCCCCAAGTTTGATCATTAGTTACCCAAATGGGAAAAAAACATAAATGACGTCAATTTCAGCCCTGAACAGTTTACACACTCATGATTAACACTACAAACCACCCTTTATGCCTTACCCCGTGAACAAAAACCCGATTTTACCTTGCTTTTCACTTACACCACCACAAAAAACACAAACTTTATCTAAATGTGTTATTACTCTACATTCTCTTTATCATAATGATGTCAGTGACGCAAGAAAAAAGTCCACTTTTCATTCATAAACTAAATTTAGTCCATAAAAATTCTCTCTTTTTAACTTTCTCTCAACCAACTTTTTCAAAAGCTGAGTTGCATAAGTCAACTTGAAGAAGCATTCTCTTTTACTATTTTCTGTCAAAACTGATTTACTAAATATCCCACGTCACTAATATTACCTATTAGATACAAATTTATAATATATCCTATCCAAATGTATGGATAGTATTCAAACACTCCATGTGTATGTACAAGTGTATGGATAGTATTCATCTTATAAGTTTATAGGGTGAGATATTCCTAACGAAATGAGAAACAAGTGAGGGTGAACTTACTGTGTTTCTTGCAACCATGTAAGGAGTGGCATTGTGTCTACAAAGGTCCAAGCTAACTTCCATGCCTGAATTGCCACAGCCAATGACCAAGACCCTTTGGTTTGTGTAGCCAGAGCCAGACTTGTAGACACTGGTGTGAGCAATGGGCCCACGAAAGAGGGCCAAGCCAGGAATTCTAGGGACCAAAGGCTCAGCATTTTCGCCAGTGGCCACCACAAGCCAGTGGGAAACATACTCAAACTCAAGGGTCCTAACGATCCAAAGCTTGGACCCTTTATCAAAGTGAGCACTCTGAACCCCTTGGTTGAACTTGGGGTGAATGTTGAAGTGGTTGGCGTAGGACTCCATGTAGGATATGAACTGGTACTTAGAGGGGTACTTTGGGAAAGTGTTGGGGAAGCCCTTGAGGGGAAGCTCGCAGAAGTGCTTTGGGAGGTGGAGTTTGAGACGGTCGTAGGTTTTGTGTTGCCAAAGAGAGGCTATGCAGTTGCTACGCTCGAGAATCACGAAAGGGACTTTGTGCTCTGATAGACACGCGGCCACGGCTAGGCCAGAAGGACCAGCACCTACGATTATAGGACCCTCAACATGAACACGAACAACATTAACATGATGCTCTTTTTCTTGGGAACCCATGTAGGAAAAGAAAAAAGTTGGAGCAACTACAAAAGGTTGGATAAAGTGGGAACTGAAAAGTGGAGCCAAACCTCGGTTTCTTAAGGGCTTTTAAAGAGTGTTGCGTGAAGTGTCAAAAAAAGATTTTAATGCATGGAAGAGAGAGAGAGAGACCAAAGGTTTTTATATAAATTTTTTTAAAAAAGTCTTGAGTTTTTATTTCTTTTCAAATAATGAAACAGTTCACAAAGTGTTGCATTTCAATAACAAAAATTATGAGACTTTTTTTGTTTTTAAGAGACAAATTAAATTCACTCCATTTAATCCTAAGCATGTGGTTCAGTAGTAGGGGTTGATCCACGCTTAAGTAAGGTTAGGGGTCTGAATCCTGCTTTGTGTATGCAGTCGCGTTAAATTTTTAGACCAACTATCCCACCTTTTGAAATGTCTTTAGCGTAGCGAGGAGATTAACCACTGCAATCGGCCCTAGATACTGCAGGGAAAAAAAATATTTTGCTTTGTGGTTCAGCAGTAGGGGTTGATCCACGCTTAAGCAAGGTCAGGGATTAAAATCCTGACTTGTGTATGCAGTCGCATTAAATCTTGGAGTCAGCTATCCCACCCTTTAAGGTACTTCCAATGTAGCGAAGAGATTAGTCACTGCTATTGACGGTGGATACTTCAGTGACAAACCTAAAAAAAAAAAAAAAAATTCACTCCATTTAAATGTTGCACTCAAAATAAGTATTTAATAAGAGTATTTTTAAAAAATATTAGTGTTTGAAATGTAATAGATTGAGTTTTATTGATTCACAAATTTAAAAATTTGGATTCTATAATAAGCATACTAAAGGTAATAATAAGAGGTATGTTATCATAGTTTCTCTATAACTCTTGTTAAAATGTATGGGAAATAGGGAATTTTATAGATTCTTCTTATTTAACGTGTATTTCTCTTGATTTAGTAATAAAATTTGTTATTTTCAATTAATAGTAAAAAAAAATTATCAAAAGAATGTTAAAGAGAGTGTTAAAAGAGTGTCTTAGCTTATTTCCTAGTTTTTATTCTTTTAATTTTTTGAGATGGGTTTGTGGCCATGGTGGTGTTATTGAGGCGTGAAGGTTAAGGAAAGGATTTGATTCTCTTTCTCTCGAGGCTGTGTTCTGAAGGGTGTGTGAGAAGAAAAACAAAAACGGAAAATGAGTGATGTATAAATACATTGATGTTAACTGCATGCTAATGTGATTGTGATGTAATATGTAAGTGTGCTGTTTTATTTTTTGAATTTATTTTTGGTTTTATCGGAATGACTCAGCCACTCACACATTCGATTTTTTTTGTCTTGTTTATTAACTTTGTCACGCTTTGTCAGGACTCTGTAGGTTCTCTGTGGCCCCCTTTAATTTATTTTATTTTTATTAATTTCTTTTTCAATTTACAACAACAACTTGTATTGTATCTAGGACTATCGTCCCACCCGTTTCCAATAACTGTAATTTGAAAGAAAAATTGTGCTTTAACTGAGGTGAAATTAAAAATATTGTTTCTTTGGTAAGTGTGCTTGCTTATATGACTGCTCAAAGTACAAAATAGTATAGTAATAGCGTGTATGCTTATGTATAGATTAAAATAGAGTTTAATAGTGTTATTGTCAGTAGTATAGAACAATGTTAATTCATTTAGTTTTGAAAATATATTATTACTAGCAAATGTGTTATGGAATTTGGGTTAGTGATTTGTATGACTGTTTCCAAAAGTTGGAGGGTGAGAAGGAAGATGTTGGAGGGATTGAAGGTTCCAAAATGGCACATTGTAAAGTGGTGGGGTGGGGTCTAAGGAAAAAGTGCACAGAGATAGAGAAAGAAAGTAAGAAAGAAAGAAGAAGGTAGTGATGTGTGGCGATGGAGATGCTATTGCTATTGCTATTGCAATGTACTATTGCTATTGCAATGTACTACTCACAACACAAAGTTGCTGCATGCTGGGAAACACCGTGGAGACTTTCTTTGTGCGACAACCGTCCCATTTTTGTTCTCTTTGAGATGCTTTAATTAGCATATGACAACATATGATTAAAACAATGTTTCTCTTAATTAAATTGTTCAAAATTTAAAATATCATTTTGGGTATGAAATAGACTTAGGTCTGAATACTAATATTATGGTTAGTGATAAATATAGTTATTTTATGATTGATTTATAAAAAGATGATTTGGAACAAGAAAACAAAAAAGTAAGACATAATAAAAGTTTTATTTTTTATTACTTAATAAATCATGAAATAATTTTTTGTCCAAAATATAAAATATTCATTATGATAATTTTATAATAATACCACCTTAACTTTTATTATTATCGTCGTTGTTGATCATTATCATTTACATTTCATTATCTTTATTGTCATTACTTACTTCCATTATTTTATGAGTTAATCACTTATACACTATCAGTGTAAAGTTTTTTTACACTGGCAACCAATCATCTTTTTTAATAGTGTCATGTCATTTGTTTATTTAATCAAATTAAAATTAAAAAAAAATACTATTAAAATATATGATTGGTTGACTGTATAAATTTTTTTTACACTGATAGTATATAGGTGATTAACTCTTACTTTATTCTTATCGTCGTTATTATTGACTCAACTACCATTATCATTATCATTAATGTTATTATCGTTGTCACAATTTTTATTATCATTGTTCCTATTAAAAAATAACAAATAATTATGATAATTAACACTAAAAAAGAATTTTGTAAGAAATTTAACATTATTTTGTCTTGTATTAATCTTTATTCAACAAACTATGAACATAACTAAAAATTATTGAGTAAATAAAATATTTATAATGTGTTATTTTACTTTTCATGTACCTTAATATATATCAAGCACACCTTTTTCTTTTATCTATTTATTATAATGAAAATAATAAAACTTAAACTTAATATGTATCAAGCACATCTTTACTACCAAACCAATTATAATGGTTTAGTAATAGGTATTAGTTAAACGTATTAGTAAATTTTGATATATTTATTAACTATAATTATATTAAATTTCTTTTAATTTTAATTTTAGAATTATTCTTAACTATGTACTTAATTTGGAACCTACTAGAATTTTCCTAGGGACTAAGAGATCTAGTAATAGATGAGTAGAGTACTAAGTACTAACAACAAATCTCTTATTACTTTCCATAAAAACACACTTTATTATTGATTGCAATTTATTAAAAATTATAAAATTAAGCTAGTTTTTTTAAATAAAAAGGCAAAAATTAAATATAATTCATAATTCAATATATTTTTAACAATAATGAAGTGTTTATATTTAATGTCACCATCATTAAAATATTTTTTATTTAATTAAGATTATATTTTTAATGTTTTTTATCTCTCTTAATATAAGTTTGTAAAAAAATAATTAAAGATTCTCTTAATATTCTCTGATCTAAAGATTCTCAACCCTTTCCCTTTTCTTTTTGAAAGTATATTTTACTGTTTTCATGCAATTTGTATATCAAACACAACAAATTCATGTTTATATTTATATTTAATAAATCTACGTATATTTATATAATAAATGTGAAATACTAATCAAATTAAAATTCACTATACAAAATGGATAAAATTTTCATGTAATTCTTTTTTATACTTTTAATACTATTCTTTAAGAATAATTGAATTTACTTTATGACGTGTTAAAAAATTGTATAAAAAATTAATACTATAAATTATAATTTTGATTGGAGTTCTTAAAAAAAACTAAGTAGAAAATAAAACAAAAAACACATAGAAAACTCCACAGTTATATTTTCAATATAAAATAGACAAACATAGAAGTAACTTCGTGTATTTACAAGTTCGATTATGGTTATATATTAAAAAAAAACACTATCTTTTATATTATTAATATTTTTCTATAAATAAGATTATATATGACATTTTTTTTATAGATAAGAATAAAACTTTACAAGCTTCTCTGTATATTATTAAAGACGAATCTAAAAAGAAGCTTTTGGAGCTAAATCCAACAAAATATTTTTGTTTTCTTCCGTGTTCCATTAATGCATTTAAAAGGTTAAAACATTCAAACTCTCTCACGACAAAAGAAAGAAACAAAAGTTAGCTTTTAGTAATTTTTTTTTTCTTGATTCAGACTTTTAGTAATTTACTGCTTTCGAAAATTTTAGCCAAAAAGTTAAAGATTTGGTATATGTTTAGCTTATTTTTATTTTGATATTATAAAAAATTTCCATTAAAGCTTTTTAAATTAATATTAAAAAATAGTTATTTGTTTGAAATAAATCTGTTATTAAACATGTGTTTATTTTTAAATTTATGGACCGAACTCTTGTTTTTTCCATTCACCTATTTCACGAATGTATATAACACAATGTGACGTCATGAATTCTATTAGTTTAATTTGACAATGATATTGAAATTATAATTTAAAATTTTATTTCAATTTTATTATGTTTAGAATTAAAATTGCTACAAATTTGCTACTTTTTGGTAAAGAATTACAGTACAGGTAAAATTATGATTTTAAGTTGAATTATTTTTTAATTTTAATTTTAATATCTGTAGTCAACAGTAATAATAGGTTATTTTAGGTTTGGTAAAAAAAAAATAGAGATATACACAAGTCTATATTTTAAGGTTTAGGTTTGGGTAAAAGAAATTAAGAGATAAATACCCATAAATAAATATAAGTTATTTTTTTATGCATTTGAATATGGATAGATTGTAACCATTGGAGTTAGTCTATAGTAGTTGGATGGGAAGAGATTAAAGTAGTTAGCAGTATAAGGACCTAAGTTCAATCTTCATTGCGATTATTTTTATGATCTTTCTTATCTTTATGGAAAAAACAATAGTTAGATTGTATTGAGATTGATGGAAAAATTTCAAACATATATAACTATTCTTATTTCATCAATAACCAAACAATTTGATCCATTATTAACTCAACCTAATAATTTTTTTAAAACTTTATTATGTCGGTCAAATTGAGCCAGTTAGATCAAACAAACAAAAAAATCATATATAAAGAAAAAACAAGGTGTAGATATGATAATTTATTATTTTTGTGTGAAACTAGATACAAT